ACTGAGCAACCAGACTTACTGAAGTGAGAGTGATGGGAAATGCTGGTGGCCACTTAGATCCATCCATCAAGGAAGGAGTTGTTGCAGGGACCCGCTATGGTACAAGCATTGGACAATAGTGGTCCCAACACTGGATGACAGTAGAGGCCATCAAAGGTACGCACAAAATCTGCATATAGCCCATTGCTGTTCACTAAAGGATTGCAGCCTGGATTGCCAGGTAGATTGGGTTTGAAGGCATAACAAAGACTTCACAGAACATATATTCATTTCAAGTAAAGCATCCCATATATGGTGAAAATGCAAAGGAAAGAAGAAGAAGATATGGAAGTCCCTACAAGAACAGGAAAAAAAGGAAGAACAGAGAGGAACTTCTCCAGCACCCTCTCCACCAGGTAAGGACACTGTGCATGATCAGCACCACCACTAAAACACCCCCTTACTGGGGGAGGAACGCTGCTTTTTTATTTGGCCCTTGCAAAATTTTGCAAATGTGGACTCAGCAATCATATGTAAAGTAGTATCTTTTACTATGTAATTGGGTTAAATAAAATTAAATTTTAAGGAGCTGCGCATATGTGTGTTTTCTGCTTCAACCTTCCCACTCAAAAGAGTGATTGACACCGCAGCACAAAGATAGAGTAAACTTGGGTGGCAGAACTCTGGGAAAAATAATTTATTGTACAGAAACATTCGCTCTTCATTTCAGAATTTAGGACAGCACAAAACAAAAAAAAGAGAGGAGAAACACACTTGAAGACAAACTTTCAGTCTGAAATGGAACTCTTACGCCCATTGCTCCAGCATCATCTTGACTGGCGTGACTAAGACTGTCACAAGATTAACGGTTTGATTTTTCCAGAGATGCCACTGCAGTTCAGCCAGTCAGTTTGAATTGTTGACGTTTAGTGTCTTTGTGTGGGGGTGGGGGAAGAAAGACCCCTAACAAGCCAAATCCTGCCAGCTGGAGCTCTACGGTGGTCTCTCTCTTTTTCCAAGGGAGAGTGCTACAAAGACACTGTCCTGGTAAGCCGTGGGGAGGCTGCCCCATTATGTTCCTCTCAGGTCAATGTATAAAGCGTCACTGATGGGCTGAAAAGGGCAACAACCTCCATCCGCTGCCTGGTTGGCTGAAGTCTGAGTTTCCAGTGTGGAGTTCTTAGAAGTAAGGAAGGTCTTGTTAAATTCTAATTTGAGTTAAATGTCCAGTAATACTGTATATTGCATATTCCAGAAATAACTACTCAGAGAATTTGCAGAGGTTTTACCATGTCCAGCATCATGCGCTGACAGAACTGAATTCTCCAATTATTTCAGCTATTTTTTTGTGGGGTGAGGGGGAGAGAGGAAGTTCTACCTAATTTGAATGGACTGTATTGGATACAACTGTAGTTCTATTAAACACCTGGTTAGCATAAAGATATCCTTCAAGCGTGGTTCTTTCTCATAATAGACACAGTACTGTGGTTACCATGAAGATGATAAAGGAAGAGGAACCTGAACAGACAAGTAGAAATTACCACGTTACTGACAATACTCCTAGGTATGCTGTAAACCGTTACAGAGCAATTCCCAGTCTCTGAACATGTAGCATAGTATATAGATTAACAGCAGTTATTGTGTATATTGACCCTCTAACCCCATCTTGTTTTTCCTAGGGATAAGAAGGGCTGCTCTAATGCCCTTGGGCAAAAGACCTCTCCTAGTTTTCCTGTGATTATATGCAGAATTACTGCTGCCCTTCAGTTCTGAAGTGGATGCATTTCAAGAGCACCTCGTATATCTGTCATGGAAAATGCATGCTGCGACCCCGCAGACTGAAAGACTTGTAAGAACGCATGCTGTGTAGGCTGAGACTTCAAGAATAAATGGGAACCGAACGTCAGATTCTTAACATTAAAAATTACCACATTAAAATCCATGAAGGCTCCTGTTTGATTGCATGCATGTGTTTGCATGCCCTCCTTGTGCATTATTGTGGTACATACCAAGAAAGGGAGGAGGATGCCTTTTGTTAAAACAATTTTACATGCAAAAAAGGTTACAAAAGCCACAGCACGAATGTTTTCATATTCACATTTGACTTTGTTGTCAAAATGAGCATGGGCATAAAGTTTTCTCAGTACATAATAATGTATTCACTTTTCTCCATTAAGTTGAACAAAATCTTCACTTTATCTCAAGTAGATCTTTAAGACTTTTTTATTATCATTAATTACGTGTATTACAATAGCAGCCAGAAGCCTCCAAATTAGTGCCCAATGCATAAGGCCCTATTGTACAACCAGATGTTAAAAAACCAGCCCCTGCTCCAAACTGATGACAAATGAAATTACAAGGATAGAGAAATCCCTTTGGGGTTGTGTCTAAGCAGCCATGTGGAGACCAAGGGAACATGCAGCATGGTGGTGTGGTTTCTTCACTTTTGTGTAGAAACTGGAAGAAGAAAAAGGATCGGAACTGCTGGTGTGTCGTGTTTCCCCATTAAGGAGTGGCCACAATGCTGAAATCATGACAACCATTTTCACACTTGCTGATCATCCTAATTTCAAATCTTGCTCAGTAGGACTGTGTGAATCAGCAAGTGAAAACGTGTCCTCACTGAGATCAATAGTAAATTTCCCATTGTCTTCTCTGAAATGAAGATTTTGAGCCTGTTTGCTTTCCCGTGGTTGTGCATGCAAACCATTAAAGAAGCTACAGAGGGAGAAGGAGAGGGATCTGCAAGTAGCTAGTTTACCCAGAGCTGAGCAGGGGAAATCAGTCTATCCTGCCCTATAAGTGGGGCCGATTGAGTGGTGTCCTGGATAAGTGGCTTCCAGGAAAATAAGATCGAAAAAAAGAGATGAAGTGGGAAAACATCCGTACCATCTTGCATGAATCTGATGTATGCCTCTGCTTCCTTCTCCATATTGCACCATTGCAAGGGGATACAGAGTTAGGCCTAAAGAGGCTACAGATCCTTGTTAAAGGATCCAGCAGGAAAGTCAGACCAATATCACAGATGAGACAGCCTCAGTTAGTTACACATCTTCAAAGGAGAAGAGGTTACAAAAGCTTGGGCCATCACTCAGTGGGACAACCTACCCACAAGGCTGAGCCTAGGCTAGGATGGCTTAGTTTTTCAAGCCCACGTAGAGATGTTCACAGGCCCTAAAGTAGAGTGGGGGACTGGGAATGACCTGGGAGACGCTGACAGGCCTGAGAAACACAGACAAAAACCCACCATTCTAATGTTTTTCTGTCGTATATTTGAACAGGTCTTGATGGATAACTCTGTCAGATACCAGCATTTCTCAGAGACTCCTGAAGTAGGTTCAGGTGATCCACAGGGGGGCTGACCTGCTATTTAGCAAAAAGTCTTCAAGGGTTGTAAAAGGCCCGATGCCTGCCAGAATGGACCTGGTGAGATCCCTTCTCCCAGTCCCCAAGAGACAGTCTTGCATGCCTGGGCTGAACTTTAAATCCTAGGTATATAAATAATGCAGAATTATTCTCCTGAGAAGTGAAGGTGGCTTTTCTTTTATGGATGTGAAGCACTTTGTAACATGGTGGTCACCTTGTTAAATTTATAGGTGGTCTTCACCTTCAGAATAGTACTATTGCAAAGACAGCAGCTATTCAGTGAACCACTTGGCTTTAAAACCTTCTTGAAAAGGGACCCTCTAGCCAGAGATTTTCAACTAAAAGAGTTGTTTCAGTCAAGGCAGATGAGATCACGCGAGAAAAAAGATCCCTTAGCTATCTAGTAGGAAACATAGGACGGATCTTTCTGAAGGCTCAGACTGAAGAGAGACTTCAGCTGCACTCACATGTGCAGAAGAATGTCAGAAAATCACTCCTTGTTAGGAAAACATTAGAAATGTCATCTTTTCCTGTTAGGAGTTTCCCAAATCTTTGTTCCCTTTAGCCTTCTCTTCGCAGTGGCTGGTGGAGGAGGCTGAAAGATACAGGACCTGGACCAAAGCCAGTTGAGTAGCTGAGACGCTCTAACTGCAGTTATTACTATTCTTTAAATCAGATCCTTCGGTCGTGTAGCTCATCAGCTCTTAGTGTGAGAGAGGTAAGACTGATTTCAGCCCAGACAGGCTGAGCTCTGGATCCATTTCCATACTGCCTAAATAAATCTACGCTTACTCATGAAAATATCAGAACGAAATGATGAAATTGTTTGGGCAGATGAGGAAATATATGTTCAACTCCGACCAAATTCTCCATCTTCAGGTACTCACTCCCTGTCCTATCACTCAGGAAATGTCTACAACTAATTATCTTAGATCCTTCCTCTACCTGTTAGCAGCTTGTGCCTTAAACTTCAATGACACTATTTATGCAACAGGGTGCCAGGCAAAGTTTACTCATATCTTCAACTTCTGGGGGTTGAATTCCTTTGGAAAGATGCAATAATGCAGAAGTGAATTAGGGTCCAAAACTATAAAGGTTCTTTGCTGAGAACTTATCTGCTATGCTTCTAAGGCATATCAGCTCTATTTTGCCTGTTATTATGTGCTCTGGGAAGCACTATAACTATATATACCTACAAGTTAATAACAGACTGACAAGGATCTTGACTTTTGTACTGGTTTAAGACTGGAGCATCTGTTCTCTTGGAGAATGATGGGAAGGGCTGAAGCCATCTGATTCCCGTAAGGAGGCAAAGGTCAGCAGTGGCACTAATCTTGAAAGCAAAGGTGGCCATCACTTCCTTCCACCACCTGAGGTATTAAGGAAGCCCAAGACCAATCCAAAGGGTTCAGCTTAAACAGTTCCAAAATTTCCACCTAGGAAAAAAATCTGAGGCAGTGTTGAGGGGCTACTTTGAGTATGCTACTCCACGGTGTTATTCATACTCCAGGAATACCCTGTACACCCAGTGATTAAGGCTGTCCTCCTTGCAAAGTCCCCAACCCAAAGAATTTCCTAAACTGTCCTTTGCTGCTTCCCGTGGAAAGGTGCAAAGAAATATGGGGGGTGGGGGGGTGGGGCTATGAGGCGCCCACCACGCCATTAATGAGAAAGGCAGAGTCCTCCCGACCCACGCTGCTACTTCTGCAACGGCAGCAGCACACCTGGCTTCCTGCCTGTATCTATTCCCACCAGCAACCTCCACAGCAGTAGCATCACAGGCATGTGCACCAGAACGGTCCTTTCCAGCTGGAAAATTTCCCAGGGGACCCCAGGGGTAGCAACAGTCACTGAACAAACAAATCTGCTGCAACAACCTGGATTTTGGCAGCCGGCCCAGCCGTGCGTCCCGCGACTGCCCCTCGCGGGCTGCCCTTCAGTGCCTTGGCCCTCGGCTCTGTCCTCGCTGTAACGCTCAGAAGGACACCGGTTGACATCAGTTCAACACTTTCTCCGAGAAATGTCCCAGCTTTCCCTCCTCTTGCACAGGCTGCAAGGCCTTGCTGTAGCAGCGTGTGCCGCCACGGCTGGCCGGGCTCTGCTCCTGCAGCACAGGGCTGCTGGGGTGCCGCTCATAGGTCCCGGCGCTCTGCAGCCCCCCACAGCCCATGCTGTGCACCTCAGCGCACTTCTCTTTGTATTGCTGGGTGTTGCCGGCAAAAGTCTCGCAGCGGCTCAGGTTTTCCTCTTGCACAGGGCTCCCCACGTTCTCGTCAGTTATTCCAGTGGCCACTGCCCCCTCTTGGGAGTTTTGACTGACATAGACAACAATAATGTCGCCCTTGAAATTCATTACTTGTCCACTTGAAATAAATGTAGAGTTACTGTTTCCAGTCACATTTCCTGGGGAAGGGAGGGAGAAAAGAAGAGGCATGTGATTAATTTTTTCTCTCATGAGATGAATGTTGAGCACAGTGAATTTAATCCAGTGTGATATCTTTACTTTTGTTCCATTATTTTTTCCTCGTGACACAGAGTTGCTCTTATAATCAATGCCTTCCACCAGGCTTTTTCATTATTTCCATGTTTGCCTCCCCAGGACCAAGCCTGTCACCTATGGGGAATCTGCCTTGAACATTAAGAAAAGTTTTCTCTCTCAGTCGAACTCCCAGAAGTAAGAGAGAGCACAATAATCTCATTCTCCCGTTATTTCAGGGTACTCAAGCTGGTTCCATACTACCTTCACACACAGTTAGGAGACGGTTATTATTTCCAATTCTTTTATAT